GTTACTTAGCAATTCTTTGAGAACTTTGACTTTCATTCAAGTGCATAGCAACGGATGAGCCGACATTCTGAAAACGAACGCCTTCCGACTAAATTGCTTCACAAATACTTCATGAAGCAACGAATGAAAAAATAAAATAAGCTCATCGAATGTTATTTTTTGCTTGTTGTGTCGGCAGTTGCCAACAATGCTAGCGCCTTTTATTCAGCAATTGTGAAAGAAGCACTTTTGGTTTAATTGTTCACTTAGAAATGAATGCTTTCGTTACTTTTTCATTCAAAAACCAAGCGAAATAAAAATAAAACAAACACTTATCGTATAAAAACGAAATTCGAATTGAAAGCAAAAAAAACCAAACAAAAGAACGAACGAAAAAACAAACGCTCGATTTCAGATATTTTTTCGAAAACATTTTATTACTCAAATTTCACTGGCACCGAGTGTTTGCGTCGGATAATTAAAAAAAATGTGTGCTTTAATTAGCACCGAAATTTCAGGAATGCTTAAATAAATCCCTCGAAAATAGACGATGAGAATTTCTTTCCCGGAATCATAGACCTCCTCCAACGAACCACTTGAAACACAAAACGAAGCGAAACGATTCAATTTCAAATATTCCACTCGATGATTTTTTATGGATAATTATGTATGCGCCTATTTGCACATAAGTCATTTTTTTGTTACTACAATGAACACACACAATAAGATTGCTTGGTGCTGCTGCTTGTATTTGTAACAATGCGCATTCATTGTGTCTCATTCAATCTCAAGTACTTGAGCCTTTGGAACAAAAAAAAATTCCAAGTGTTTTATGCCATTGTTTATTGTGACCGAGGATAACACATGTTTAAGACAATTGACAGTTTATTAGAATTTACAAATGAAACAAAGTTCAAGAGGCTGTACCGAAATGCAGTAAATAAATGAACGAAAGAATTGCAGTAAATGGATGAAAATTTAGACGGAGGAGACAGCAGAGAAAGAGGGAGAGAGTAGGAGGACGAATAAGCATTTGTGCTGGTGAATTGTGTCAAGAACAATAGCATCAAGAAAGAGAAAAAAATCAATGCGACAAACAATAAAATTCCAGTTAATCGGCCAGAGAGCCGAGCTGTGTTGTGTTTTCAAACCAAATAAAAAGAGGACTGAAAGTGCCTGAAAATGGTCCATGTTGCACAAGCACACACACACACGAACACTCACAAAGGCAGACAGTTTTTTTTCTCTGTACCAAACTGAGATTTAAAAAGACATCACTGTTTGTGAAAGTATAACAAAAAACGAAATAGACTGAGATTTGCTTGGGATTCATTCCAATCTCGAGTGCATACGGCGAATGAACAGCAAGAGATATGTATAGAGAAATAACAAAAAATGCCAAAAAACGAACAAAAATTTGGACCAAATCTGGAAAGAGTAAACGAAGAAGTGTGGGGTGAATAGAGGGAGAGAGAGAGAACATGATAGCAAGTGTATGTATAAGAGATGAGGCCAGGTACCGTTTTAAGCTAAACGATTCGTTTAACACTCATCCTCATCACATGTGTTTTTTTTTCATCGTATTTTAGCTTAAACAAAGCATAGAACGAGAGAGAGAGAGAGAGAGAGAGAGAGAGAGAGAGAGAAAGAGAAAGAGAAATATGAATTGTATTGAATAACAGACGTAGGCAAAAAACGAAGAAAATCGTATAAATGAATAATATTTTACTAGGCGAAGGATAACAAACACGCAGCATACACATAGAGTAAAAAAAAATCTAAAGAATCTCAAGTGGATTCTATTGTCATTGGAGGGTGCTTGTTTTTTAAACGAACCCATGCGCTCTATGTGAATTCAATTAAGTCGGTGGTTCTATGACAATGACAATGACATACAACTAAAAGATAATGCCGGACTTGGTATTTCTTTGTAAGCTCATCGGCGAATGTGGCGTCGAATAAAACAAAAGCGGACTATTCTGAAGTGCATGACAAAAATATTAAATTTGATTGTTCCCGTGTATATATGGATGGTAAAGGTGGTTCTTATTCTCATCGTGATTATGAATCACATAAATTCTTCACGATTCATGCAATGTCTTTGTCGCCTTTTTCTCTCTTTTATTTTTCCCTTTTCATATTGGGATATATAAACAGTGTGATATCGAAATAACCGACCGAATATGATTTTTCATTGTTGATGTGATTTTCTTCGTATTGTTCATAATCATTTTACCTCATTCTGTCACATTCAAATGTCGAATTAAATGGAATACCTTTTGTATGAATCGGGCACCTTGACTACGCTCAATGCCATTCATTGGATAACGTAAAACCGTGAGAGAATGAAAACCTGAACCGTACCAATGCAAGAAAAGGGAAAAAAAGAATATCGAACCGCCACCAGATCAGGATTCGGGGAAAGATATTAATAAATTTTTGTTCAACACCAACACAGCATACATGTACATCAGACACAGGCTGAATAAGAAAATCCGACGAACACCAGTCTTGACGTCGTTGGTAGTAACCGACCGAGGTGACATGATGCATTTTATTTTACTTATTCTCCATTTCGTTCAAATGACAACAACAAAATAGTTAACAATGAGCAGGCATATACAATGAAAAGTACTTGAAAAATCTTTTGTTCGATTTGATGATGTTTCGCTTGTAAACCGAAGCGAAATTATCCTTTTTACAACACGCTCGCTCACACAAAATCATCATTTTTTTCTTCTTCTTCTTCTTTTTTCACCTTATTCTTTTCTATTTTACTAGGGCTGCCGAAGCAGAATGAAAGCAAAAAAATATCAAAACGAAACGATGCTCGTGTTTGCTTGTGCCTGTGCATGTGTCTGGCATTACATGTGATGCGCATTTTACGGACTCATATGACACATATTGTTCTCATATTTTCATTTATTGTTGTTGTTTTTTTGCCTTTTTTCCACAATTTTCTGACCTTTTCTCACATCACATTCGTATGCATCATTGAATTTTAAATATGTGCTTCAACTCTTCTATGCATAAATGAAAATTGTATTTCGTTAGTATATGCATTTTCTATTTCCAAACTAAAATCTTTACTACACAATCATTTATTTCTGTAAATAGAATAAACGTAGGATTCCCAGTATTATGGATCTAGTTCATTGCTTCAGTTTGAAATTTTTACTCTTGAAGCCAATTGCTCCGTTTCTATTTTCTTCACTCTTCGTTCAAGTGGACGAGAAATGGCAAATTTGTTGGGTGTATTCTTTTGCTCTCAACCAACGAACAAAAGGACGAAATTATTCCAAAAAAAGAACAATTGATGTGCCTTTGGAATCAAATATAATGAGATTAAATTATGTTTATTTCAAGTGGTTTGTTTTTCACCACGTAAAAGATCAATTTTAATACGATTTATGAAATTTTCCGATTATACTTACTCAATATATTCATTATTGCGAAAAATATTGTTTGTTCGATGTTCTCATTTCTATTAAATCAAGTTCAAGATCCGTCACCTACTGGTGTGTCTGGCTCATGGGTGGATATATCTAGATAAGTGTTTAAAGCTACTTTTCAATTGAAAATTAAATGAATCAAAATAAAATCATTGAAACTAAGACGCCATTTACGCCTATCACATCTCCATATTTATCACGGATTTCTCATTTTTTTTTCTCTAGAAGTATTTTCTTCGTGGCACTCAAATATCTACATTCATTTTAAGTGTGTTTTTTATTGTTTATACTATCGATTTATTTCATGATTCGAAGAAAGTGATTTCAGAGACTAGAAAAAGGGAAATTTATTGTGCTCGTATTTTTTTTATCATCGCTTTTATTATATGGTTGTTCTTTAATCGAATGGATGCTCTCTCTATTGCCACAAAGGCACATGTAATTCAAAACGTTTAACCCGGCGTCAATGGATTCGGTTGTAAATCAAAGATACGATAAAGATTATCATGCAATCGTTTATGCCGAGAGGGTATGATGCGTTTTCTCTCTCTCTCTCTATTGAACCTGTTTTAGTTAAACGTTTCACGGTTTTCCAGTAAAGGTTAAGTTTTTTCTCGAATTAAAACATACACACACAAAAAAAGATATAAAGGTACCTGCAGACCATAACACATCACAAACAACGCAATGAATGAAAAGAATGTGTTTACAAGCCGTTCTTGGAAATCAACAAAAGATCAAATTTCTCAACTTTTTCTCTTCTTTATTTATTATCATCAAAGCTAGAGCTGGACGAAGAGAGAACAAAAAGGTACTATTTCGTTTTGAATGATTTTGTGTTGTGAATCAATCATATTACATAAATTCTATTTTGAAGTTGTAGAGACTCTTGAGAGTTTCCAGACCGGTCGATTTGTGCAATTTTTTCCCTCTGCTCAAGGAGCTCTGTAAAGAAATCTTCGCTCAGATAAGTAAATAGAGAAAACCTAAACGGAGGATAGACATGGTGGAAATATTAGGCATATCATGTGAACAAATAAATGACCGAATATAAAAAAATGAATTTAAGACCAACTTTATGGAAATAAGTAAATTTTTACCATTTTTATATCTGATACGAAAAAGTTCAAAAAATGAAAAAAAATGGAAAAAATTAAAAAAAAAACAAAATTTGAAAAATTTCATGTAAAACGAAAAAAATATTCCGACAAAATCCATCAAAACCTCAACCAAACTTGTCTTTTTCCCAAATATGAAAAAATATGGAAAAAATTCAATCAAATAGAAAGCCAACAACAAGTGTCGGTTGAATGCGGTGTTTTGTTCTGTCGGCAAATGTGAGTAAGACATACGGAAATAATTGCGTTAAATTATTTGTTTACGTGTGATGTCAAATCAGCTGATCGCCACTTTGACAGAACTTTATCCGAAAAAATTGTCGAAGCTCCGTCAAAAGCACCTATCTAATGCGTTGAATATTGCCGCACACCAATGCAAATCGATGCGTTACTACTTACGGCGTATGTGAATTGTTTACGTTTTCATTTGACAGCTTACGTGCCAGCTCACCGTTTGCTCAGCTCGTTTGCATATGTCAAATCAAAAATGAGTAGATTTGTTTAGAATTTTATGGTGTAAGACGTGTTTAATTATTAATGTTGATCGAAATTGATCGAACAGACGTATTAGAATTCAGAAAATTCTATTTGTAAATTGTCCAAAGTATTCGAAAGAAGTGAAATAAAGTTGTGATATTCAATAATTGTGTATTATCCAACGTAAATTGACGAAACAATGGAAGGTGGTGGTAACGATGTATCAAGTACGGTCGGAAATCAGAGTTTGGACAGTCGTGACCCTCAGCATCCACCAGAACTCGCAAATTCTGAACGAATTTATCAGCAACAATTATCCCAGCAACCGATCCAAAATCAGTCACCAGTTGAGAATCGACCAATGGAAATTCCAGCAGCAAAAGTACGCATACACATACATAGAATAAAGTAGATAATATCCATTGTTCTAGTGCATACACTGTACACATACAATGACTACATTCGTCGCTAAGAACCATTGACAATTGGAATTGTTCATTTTTTCTACGTATTGCAAAAAGTTATTACGTGGTGTTTACACAACAGTTGCTCTATTTTTAGCGCCTATTACACGATATCTTATCGTGTCTCTTTCTCATATATCACAACAATTGTGTACACAAATTGTTTGCACAACGCATTCCATTCTCAAATTGTTTCAATAAAATTTCACTTTTTTTTTTCTCTCTCGCAGGTTCGTTCATCGTTGGCCGAATTGGAATTGCAAGCTTCGAATGCCATTCAGCGTCTAGAAGCAATAAAAATCAATTCAAATCCGGAAATTCCGCCGGTTTTCAATGCAAACGCAACATCAACTAATGGACAATTAGCGAAAGATCGTTACGCACCAACAGATATTCTATCGATTTTGGAAAATGTCATCGTTTCCAGTGCAACCGAACCGGAGGAGAATGATGATCCTGATTTGGCAGAGCCAGAATATTTACTCGTAATACGAAATTATAATATTTCAATATTATATTTATTTAATTTTAATATGATTTTTTATTAATTTTTCAGCCGGCACTAAATGAAATTTCACATTTGGCGCTCATCACACATAGTATAATGGCATACCTAACGCAAATGGACCATCGTAAATTCAATAGAGTCATAGGAAAGATTAACAACGAAACAAATCGCTGGCTCTCACATTTATTCAGATTCAACGACGCAAAAGCAAGGTATTGAAATTTAACTATTTATTTAAAATAAAATTTATAATTATTGTTTCTATTAATTTCAGCTATCACGGAGATAATGCTGATACTATGTTACGGGCTGTTAGGTAAGATTTCGAATAGAAAAACCATGTCCATGGTAAATGTTGATGTGGAAAATTCTCATTTTAATTTCAGATTCGCTATTGTGAATCGTTGTCCTGGATATTTGGAAGATGTCTATTTGGGCAAACCACCAGTCGCAAAACCGTGTCTTTATATTTGTGGTAATTTTTTTATTTTATTGTTTTGTTTATAATTTGGTTGGATAAATTATTAATATTTTTATATTTTATAAAATTTATTTAAAAAAAAGAAAACAGTTCACAAATTGCATTGCAGTACGCATGTCGTCAATTAGGTCTAACGGCCAATTCCATCAGATTGGTGCCAACAAATACCTCATTTGGTAAAATCAAAAGCAAACTAACTATAAAAAAAAAAAAAACTAAACTAATTTTATTTCACAGACAATTTTGGAACAATGGACATTTCGGCTTTACAAGAGTTGATAACAAATGACATTTCAATGAAACGAACACCTTTATTCGTAGTTGGTGATGCTGGCGCATCGATTTGCGGTGAAGTTGACAATATTCAATGTTTACAAGAAATTTGTCGAACACATTCGATTTGGTTTGTATTTTTTATGATTATTGTGTATTTTGTGAACATACATGGGCATGGTAAAAATTGAAGCAAATCAGAAGAATCAGGCTTGGCGAATCGGAAGAATTTTTCTTCTTGATATTCTCCTAACTCAGAGGATTTAAATGAGGTCGGCTTACACCCACTCTGTGCCCATGTATGTTTATGAACTAATGGTATATAGGGAGACGGCGGAGACTTAACGCTTAGAGTGTTTGAATGGATTTATAATCATTTGTTTTACTTATCATGGGCTACAGGTTACACCTTCGTGGCCACACCTTAGCGGCACTGTCAACCATACAAGGTTCAATGCAAACCGACGGCCAAAGCCAACCCATTTCCGATTCAATGACATTAAATTTTGGCGGTTGGTTGGGCTTGCCGAATCTTCCCGTTGTGGTGAGACACAAAGAACCATTTAAATGGCATTTAAATTCTTTTTACTCTTTAAAACCATATTCAAATCGTGTTTTTCAGTTGTTACATCGTCACGTTGAGCATACAGCCGCATGGGTCGATTCAGATCTCTTACATTCTCGACGCGTAACATCACTGTCACTTTGGACAAGTTTACAAGCGTATGGGCGTGATCAATTATCTGGTCGAATTCAAATCGCATTTGGTAATTAGATTAAATTGTCTAAGACAATTAGATTTAAAAATATAATTGCTTATTCTTCTGTTGCTCACCCAAAAAAAAAGATTGCTGTCGAATGGTCTACGAAATCGTAAAAAAATGTCAGGGAATTCGAGTTTTGGTAAGGTTCAAATGAAAATATCTGATTTTCCTTTATTAATCAAGTCGTTCTTTCAATAGAGCAAAGCTCCGGGCACGAATTGTCGAATTACTGATTTGATATATAAGCCGCTAAATATATCCGTAAGTAAATGCATTTCTATCATATTTTGTTTTCTTTTTTTAAAATTATATTGTAATTTCCAGTTATTATTCGAAAGTGCTGTACCAGTAGTGGTATTTCAATTCGATGGTAGTTCGTGTGATATAATACCTCAGCGACAAACTGATCCATCCGAAAATGCCGAGCCAAAAGTATTATCAAATACATCACAAAATGTATCGTCTGACTCCGTTGAAGCTACAACAGCATCGCCCAATGATTCTTCATCAGCACCGACAGTTGATGCAACGCAACAATTGATGATAAACAAATCAATTGAAAAAGTGTCAAATTTCGCATATTTTGATAAATTAAATGGATGGTTGGGGTAAGGAAATAATGAAATAGGTATTTTCCTTCAAATTGTATGTTCATATATATTTTTCATTTCCAGTCAAAATTTACAACGTGATTGCCCCGATGTTTCATTGGAAATGCGCGAGCATCAAATTCATGGTATGTTTTATTTAAAAAAAATAAATTTCCATAATTGATTGCTGGTTTTTCCCCAAACCAAAAATCCAGGCACTTGTATTAGGTTCTGCCCATTTGAATTGGGATTGGGTGATAGCATACCATCGATAGAACAACTGGAGTTGTTGGAGGTAATTGTTTTTTTTTTAATATAATTTAATGTACTACGTATAATAATTTTTCTATATTTTATTTATTCAGGATTGTCTTTCGAATCAGATTGATATTCTGCGAGCTACTTGCAAACATAAAGCGACATTGAATCGTTTGGTTGAACAAAGCACATTATTAAGGTTGTTTATTATCATTTTTTTTTATTGACAACAAATTAAAAAAAATAAATTAATAGGCTGGTACCCTTATTGGATTGGGCTGGCTTGGGGGGCGTTCGCTACGTCCCAGACGCATATGAAACGTTTCTGGACAAAAATCAAGCAAACTTTGAGCTAAATAAATTGAATGCTGATTTGGTTGAAAGGCTGCGCGCGACAGATAACGCATTCTCTCTTGGTGAGGGCGCCGATGGTTTGACTTGCGTTAGGTAATCTATATTATATAAATAGATTTAATTAATTAATATAATTAATTGTATTTATCTAATTTTTTTTTATAAAAAAAAGATTCGGTATGGTGACAGAAGATACTGACGTCGAGGAGTTACTGGGTAAGCATGGCTTCCTGAATTAGGGACGATACACTTACGGTCGATCACTTTTGGAGAAAAACCTTACAGCCGATCAAAAAATAATTTTTAGTCGAACCGGTGCAAAGGAAAAATCCATGCACTATTGGACGATGAGCATTTTGTTCGATCGGCCGAAAGTGAATCGTTCCTAATTCTGTGAGCCTGTCTAATATATATTATTTAAATATTCATTATTAATACTTACTTATTGCTTATTAAAAAGATTTGGTGATAAGCATCGGAAGAAGTGTTCAGGAGAATTCCCGAGTTTTGGACAGTATGAGCGAAATCGTGAAGAAGGTAAGGTGTCAATTGTGAAAAATCAACAATTATATTAAACCGCTTTATTTTGATTTATGCAGGGAATTGAAACGGCCTCGGCTGATTTGCAAAGGGAATCAGATGAAAAACTCTTATCCGATGGTATTTTGCGACATGTGCCAATTGTTGGGGTAAGGAATAAATATGTCTTCTTTTTCAAATTGTATAGGACATGTCCAAATGGTAAAAGAACGTTCATGTTCATAATTATCCTTTTCAGTCGGTTGTAAATTGGTTCTCGCCACCGGCCAAAGAAACCGGCATCAGAGGACGAAGCTTGAACTTGGAACAAGGTGTCGTTGAAAGCACTGAAAATATTTATAAGTATGAATCGACTTTTTTCTCTCCTAAATTTTGAGTTTTCATTATATTCCGGTCATTTTAAATTCAAAGGTATCATATGCAATTGACCAACGATGGAAAGAACCAGATTCAAGGTACAACAAAAATTGCACCACAGCCAATTGTTCAAACGTCTGTGAGTTCGGGACATTCACGACAGAGTAGTGCCACTTCGACCACAACACATTATGATCAACCGGCCATTGCGCCAAACGAACAACATTCAAATAGACAAACAAACATACAATAAATTCCAGAGTATTTAATTTGAAGATTGCGTTGCGATTGAAATTGAATTGTAGTTGATTTAGTTGTTGATTTATATTTAGCATTAATACGTCGAATCCAAACTTAAAACGGACATTTATTTATTAAGAGCTTGCAAAAATGTATTTAATCTTTAGTTTTCTTCAATAATTTTAATCTACGGATGTCATCGGCTACATTGACGATGTTGATATATGCATGGCACAATATCTCCTCCAGAATTCATTCCCCCGTTATTAAATTATACAATGAAGAATAACATACACTGGACAATTGTGGTGCGAAATGGTTTTTGAAAGTAATTCAAAATAAAATATACATATTCATTTATTTTCACCGTAAATTTTGTTTGTTTTTTCATATACGCACTGACATAATAGTAAAAGTGGTAATGATTTGCATTTTTCCGCCACCTTCGCATGCAAAAACGTCGATCTGTCAAACTGAATGACAGATAAAAATTTGGCGGACATATTGTTGTCGGTCGCATAGAAAACGGTAAGATTTTCACATTTTTCAGCATCAAATTATAAATTAAAACTAATACCTATCAAACATTCAGAAATATTGCGAAAATAAGAAACAACATAATGGCACAACGTTCATCTCTCACTTTTAACTTTGAAGTCCTGTTTGTGAGTGAATTAAAAGTCTTTTATTCACCCAAGCATCTGCTGAATGGTATTCCATGGCAAATAAAACTTCAACAATACGATTATGAAAAGGAACCATGGCTCATGGCCATTTTGTGTTGCAGATACAAAGCCGATTCAACATGGTCGTACAGCGCTCGTGCTACAATCAAATTATTTCGAATGGTCGATGATAAAGAGAAAGTAATTGAAAGACGAATAACACCATATGTTTTTCAACCCGATCTTAAATTACACTACGCTCGTGTTTATTTGATTCCGTGGCGGCATTTGTTAGATAAGTCAAAAGGTTATGTCAAAGATAACATCATTTCTGTGGGCGTTAAAATTGAAATGGCCGATCCCAACGAACAGATCAGAAGCCATTTGATTCTAAAAGATACGTACAAAAGTTGTACAGATGCTTGTATAAAAAAATTCCAAGTATCTGTCGGCAACGTCATGAATTTGATGGCCGTTCGATCACCATCATTTATTATGCGCAATGTATTTTGGCATATTTTGATCTTCAAAGATTCTAAAAAACTTAAATTCAGTTTATGTCACGATGATACATTGCTTCAATTTCCATGGGAAATAACAAGTTCGATCAAAATTCTTTCAGCATCGGCATCAGTGATGTCCATTCAACGAAAGAAAGTTGAAAATAGAAATGACATTTATAAGCCATTCTTTGAACTAGTGTGGACGGAATTAATTGAATCGGCCAACGAATTTATCAACAACAACACCATCGTCATTGATGTCCAAATGTCAACTCTAAAAACAAATAAAGCAATAATCTTATCAAATCCATTAATCATCAAACATCCAGAAAAACGTAAAGGAACGTGCATAGAAAAGCCAGCAAAGCGATATGAGCTAATGTGCCCGATATGTTTGGAGCGATTTGAGGAGCAAAATATTTCCATCACAAAATGTGGTCATTTGTTTTGTTCGGAATGTTTGAATACTGCGATGAAAAGTCGTAGAATTTGTCCGGTCTGTAATAATCGTGTTATTTCAACCCAAGTAAAACGAGCACATTTACCATTGTAAGTTACACACACATTCTCTCACTAAATACATGATTCCATCTGAGTAATTTGAATTTATTTGATTTTACAGTGCAACGTAGATACGGAGCATTGGAAAAATCCACGTCAAACAACCCGTAAATCGTGGACATGGTGTAGTTTATATATAATCAATCTTTGGTCATCGTTTTTTTAGTCTTGTATATTTTATAATTAGTTCGTAAACAACAATTGGCTATATCTTGAATGAAAATGTGTATTGAAAAAAATATTTTACAGAAATTGAACAATTTATCCAATTTTTTTGAAAAACATCACGTATAACCATTAAGCATAGGAATAAGTTTTAAAAAAATGACAATACTGTAACAACAAACTGGTAAAATGATCAAATAAAATGTGATTTTATGGTGAAATATCAAACAACTTTTTATTTTACACAAATAACGTATACGACTTGAATCACAGTGGAAAGTGAGCTGTGAGCAGTTGACGAAAATTGATCTGTCAAATCTGGCACGTCAGTAGGCTGTGTGATGAAGAAATTTTGAGCAAGTCAGAGTAACGCTTGTAAGTGGTGCAGCCAACATTACCAAGTAAACCATTTTTACTTTAGCAATAGGGATTTTTGGTGACAACTCTTATTCAGAACACCGAATTCAATAATACAAACGTCGGCAAAAGTTCTTTACACTATTAAACCATCAAATCCAATGTGTCAGCTGTAAACCAAAAATGCCACCATTAGTTCGTCGCAACATTTTTCGATTCAACGTGCCAAACATCAGTGCATTGAACATGTTTTATTCACCGGAGTTCATGGTACACGCTCCATGGCAAATTAAAATTAAGAAAAAAACACAAAATGGCCAACTGTGGCTTTTCGCCGTTTTGTGCTGCAGATTCAAAGACAAATCATCGACTTGGTCGTACAATGCACGCGCATCAATCAAGCTACTTCGTCAACAGGTCGATCATGAAGAGAATTCAATCGAAAAACATACAACACCAACGAGTTTTGTACGTCAAATGAAAAGAAATCCAGGTGTTTACGTGATTAGATGGAGCGATGTCTTTGACATGACAAAAGGCTATGTGGAAAATGACACAATTTGTCTGGAAATCAAGATCGAAGTGGCCGATCCCAGCGAACACATCAAAAGTGATTTGGTGCTAGAAAATACATACAAAAGTTGTAAAGATGGATGCCAGACGAAATTCCAGTTGACTGTCAGTAACATCACTGGTTTGATGACCATTCAATCGCCACCATTCAATCTGAGAAATGCGCTATGGTATTTTTTGATCTACAAAAATCATTCGAAGCACCTTTGTTTACGCTTGCATCCCTGTGATACATTGTCGGAATTTTCGTACGAAATAACAATGTCGATTGAATTGGTTTCATCATTCGCAAACGGAAAATGTATCAAACGAGTGGAAACAAAACAAATGCATCATAATACAGAGTTGAAATTAGGAAATCTCATCTCATGGGATGATTTGTGTGAAGCCAAAAATGGTTTTGTCAACAACAACTGCATTGTTATAAATGTTGAAATCAATACTGAGAAACCGATTGATGTGATTTCAAATACCAACACAAAGTACAAAGCAATGAACTTATCAATTGAGGAGACATGCTTCGAATTGGAGTGCCCGACTTGCCTTGAAATATTCGAAGAGAAAGAACTTTCATTTACACATTATCGTCACATATTTTGTTCTGACTGCTTGAAAAATGCCATGAGTCTCCTGTAAAGTCAATGTTATGTCAGCTGAACGGATACGAGTGCATTTGCCATTGTAAGTTGACCTTATTTCTGTGCTGAATAAACGATTAAACTTAACTAATTTTCTGTTTATCTGATTTTACAGTGAAATCGGAAACATCAGGATATTACATTGAGGTCAACCAACAATGACATATCTTATTTAATTTCATCGAATCACCATAGTCACTTGCTTAAACTGTAGTCACATTGCTGTTATGAACTGATTAAAACAAACAGTTCTTTAGAAAATATTTATTGGTTGAAATGGAACAAAAACTAGTTTATTTAGAAAATATCGATTGGAATTTTGTTGATACACATTCCACATAGCTTTAAGATGCAGAATCATTTTCAGTCGAAAGTATAATTTATATGTTTAATGTTTATTTAAATTCAGTTTTGTTTTATGAATTGTTAAGGAAATAAAGCAAAATTTTATCAATCATGAAATGTCAAAAGATTGTCAATATTTGTGTTCGTCCGAAAGAAGCGGAAAAATATAATCGAATTGGTATGTTTATTGTTGCAAATTTATCTGTCAAACTGAATGATAACGCTTCGTTAGTTGGGCACAGTTCTCATTGGTTTGGCCAGTTGACATTCAATCGCTTCAAAACCTAATTAGCGTGTTACATTGTTAAGTTATTATTATTCCAATTTTTAAGTTTAATTCAATGTTTTATAAAATAGTATTTGCAACATCACCCTCAAAACAATGTCATAAAAACTGAGTTCATATGCGATTTTCTTTATGATTTGGGATTCAATAAACAAGAAGATAAATAATAATAATAATACTAACATAATCAATAATTTATTTATGTATTGTTCATTGGGATATTCAAAATAGCATCAAATTCATTTTGAGTACACCGAAATTTTTTGCGAATAGGCATACGTCCTCAGCAGGGGTCCGACGGGTGTTACCCCTTAAAAAATTTCCTACGGGGCAGACACGTGGAATTGGATTAGACTTTTAGTGTAAAGATTCGAGAAATTGCAATGAAATAGCAACGAAATAGCAACGCCTGTGAATGGATTCGCGTGGAATAGCGAAACAGTGCATGGAATAGCAAAAATTGTTTCACTTCAAATCCATTTGACATTTCTTTTGACGTTTACTGATGGATTAGTGGACTAGTACGGAATAGCAGAATTAACATTTTTGACGGAAACAGTGCATGGAATAGGAAAAATAGTTTCGATTTCACATTTGTGTTTTTGGATTAGTGGAATAGCTGGATTAGTAATTTATATAGTGGATTCAGAATTTATTCTTGGTGTCTCCCCCCTAGAAAATTTCAAAGAATTCTTTCAATTTGCTGAGTATTTTGGCCAAAAAAGTGAAGACCTTTTTTTTGCTTAAGAATTTTAGAAATTCTTCCGATTTGCTAGGGATTTTCGCCAAAAAAGTGAAAAGCAAAAAAAAAAACGAAAAAGGTACACCTTTCAAAAAATACACTTCACTTTTTTGCTTACCCCTCTCGATTTTTTTCAATTAGACCCCCCTCCCCCCTTAAATTTTTCCTCTGAGGACTATGCGAATAGGCCATTCGAAGAAAAATTCTTTGTACACTTCGGGAAAAAATGTTGTACAGATGATTAGGTGTTTTGATCATTAAATAATACGGGGTCGCGAAATTTTGAGTACTGAGCCAAAATTTGCATGGCGCGGTGGCAAAAATACAAAAAAGAATGAGAGTGGGCGATCCATGGGGCGAATCACGCTAGTGAATACTAGAAAAACTAGTAAATCTAGTGCGAAGAATGACGTCACAAACGAAGCTAACTTCACACCAAAGGCCATATGATTTATATGAAAAACTACTGAGAGCCAACTTCACGCACTAGAATTCAGGCTGTGTGTTCTGTATAATTTCAGCAGGCACTGCTATTTCTAGCACGATAGCTATGCTCTGCCTAAGTTTGACGCATTGCATACCGCATTGAAATCGGTGACTGCTGTAAGCAGTGTGTGTTCGTTACGCGGCAATAGCGACACCGTAAACCATCAATACACATGCATGAATGCTGCGTATTACACGGTATCGCTATTGCCGCGTAATGAACACACACTGTAAACAGGCATCGATTTCAATGCGGTATGCAATGCGTCAAACT